ACCTAAAATTGAAGACTGGAATGAAAAGGTTATAGACATAAGAAACATGGATGGATTAACCTGTTTGTTACAAAAAATACAAATGAAAAATAAGGAAAGAGACAGATTGGATATTGATAGCCGAATATTTAAAGTAAGAACAAAAGATAACTGTAGGAATACCAAAAGGAGAACGTACAGAAGAAAGGAAGAAAGAAGATGAGAAGAACAATAAAGGTCGAAAAAGAAGGAAAAGGAAGAATCTTTCCTTGAAGAAACCCGGAAGCAGGACGGAGGACATCACCATTTCGCCTTTCTCCCTATCTTTCTTTCCTTTCCTTCCTTCTTTTCTTCTTTCCTCCCTGTCCCTATCTTTCCCCTCCTTTCTTCCCCTCACCTCTTTCCCTTTTACCTATTATCCCTTTCTCCCTCCTTACACAATATACTGCTACTACTTTTTTCCTTTCTTTGTTTTTCTTCTCTCTTCTTCTTCTTCTTTTTCTTTTTTCATTATAAAATTTTAAAGTTTTATTATGTATTATGAAAAATATTCAATACAGATTTTTTAAAAAAAAAAACGGCTGCTGCCGCATTCCCGCCATATGCGGTGACCGTAAGAAAGCAGCAAGGCTGTACAAGTACAGTAGAATAATAATAATAATAATAATAATAATAATAATAATAATAATAAAAATAAACTTTATTTGTACATCGCTCCATCTCCCCGATGGGGTGTGGCTTACATGAGGCCAAGCCCAAAACAACAATACATAAAATAAAACAAAACCGAAAACGCAAATAATAAACAATAATAACGCAATTACATAAAACAAAAGACAACATAGCAATATAAAATTACAATAAGCACAATCTCAATAACATGGGCAAGCTACATGTAATGGATAAAAGAAAACTGGGTAAAAACAGATTAAAAACTCAAGCGAGATAAACACGAGATAAACAAGGACAGATTATTATAGAAGACAATCCACTCACCAGGATTCGTGGAAATAAGTGATTTAATGCGGTCCCGATGATGTGAGGGGGCGCCTCACCGGGAAGGTGTAAGTGAAAGGCAGAGCAAGCTGCAGGCATCCAGGATGCCCAGGGTATGGAAAAAAGAGATAGAGTGGCACTGTGCCCAGAAAAACATGCCTCTTTCACCCATCTGTCCTGCCTTTGTATCCCATTACCATACCTCCTTCTCTGCCTCTCAGATCTCACTCCTGAGGACTGCAGTGAAGCGACGCAGGTGCACATATGCAAGATCGGAGAGGCAGAGGAGGTACAGCAATAGGAAAATTACCATATTGAAATAAAATTTGATGGGTTTTTTTTTAAAAAAAAAATTCATTTGGTGTGCATTGGACGAGGGGTAGTCTTATACGGCGAGTATATCCCAAACTCTATATTTTAATTGGAAAAGTCGGGGGTCGTCTTATATGCCGGAAAATGTGGTATGTAAGTTTTGCCATCATACTCTTGGGCTGTATCTTTTTCCAGGTTGTTTCAACCTATAGTGCACTTCCCACTTTCAACCCGTCAAAACAAGTGATGTATCTTGAAGCTTTCAAGTGTCACCAGCACCAGGTTAAGGACTTAATGGAAGTCTTTTGGCTACCAAAATATTGTCCCAATGTCAGGAAAAGATTACATGTGCAAAGACCACCGTCTTCCATACAGTTGGCTAATCCCTTATGTTTCTCCTAACGGGTCCAAGTTTCACTCCTAAACAGAAATCAGAAACTTTTTGGCTTTGAGTATTGCTGGATGAGATTCAACAAGCACCCCATATTTGAAAGAACCCCTTTCAACACTGCTGGAACTTCAAATTTAAGTGTGGCAAAACATTTAAAATAAAATTAATTTTGTTCCAGTCCATTGTTTGCTTGCAGAACTCAAACATTTTGGTCTTTTCAAAATAAGCAGTGCAACCTTGTGCATATCCACTTAGAAGCCTGACTCAGTGAATTCAAAGCATGTCACTTCCTACCAAGTGTATTTTGAACTGCAGCCTTAGGGCGATTTAGTATAACATAAACATACAGCATGAATCAATTTGCTCTGTGTATTGTTGAAGGCTTTCATGGCTGGAATCACTAGGTTCTTGTGGGTTTTTTCGGGCTATATGGCCATTTTCTCAAGGCATTTTCTCCTGACGTTTCGCCTGCATCTATGGCAAGCATCCTCAGAGGTAGTGAGGTCTGTTGGAATTAGGAAAATGGGTTTATATATCTGTGGAATGACTGGGGTGGGGCAAAATAATGAAGGTGGTCAGTTGAAACATTCACACCTAGTTCCAGCAGAGAAGAGCTCTTTGCCCCACCCGTCATTCCACAGATATATAAACCCATTTTCCTAATTCCAACAGACCTCACTATCTCTGAGGATGCTTACCACAGATGCAGGCGAAACGTCAGGAGAAAATGCCTCGAGAACATGGCCATATAGCCTGAAAAAACCCACAAGAACCTAATTTGCTCTGTGTCTTCATTGTGAGGTGCATAAAGAACTGGCCTCTCATGATTATACAACTGAAGGGCTAGTAATAGTCTGCATTTTCTTTTGTCAGCAAAATAGGTTTTTATTTCAATTAAACTGAAATACCCTTATAGTAATGTTTATTATGACCCTTTTCCTGTTCACTGTCTGGTGCAAAAGAAAAGGCAAAGAGAAAAAAAGAGCAGAGGGAATTTCTACTGTTCTCTCCCCACTCCTTTTCCTTTGCACATTTGATATGGCTTTCATTGTTGTGGAGGAAATGGGTGTGGGTGTTACTGCTACCATCATAAGCACTGATTTCAGTACAGTATAAGCAACTGGGACTCTTAAATTATCCTTGGTTTGTGGGATGGGTCATACTGGGTCATACTGCCAGAAAAACATGGAGTAAAAGAGTAAAACGGGACTGCTCTTTTGATATAGCTATAAGGTAATTCTTCCAGTTCTCTCGGAGATTCTTTTGCTTGGTTTGCCTCTTTGATTTTGGTTGTAATAGGTGTTTTTCTGTTACCAGAATGTGTTTTTCCCCACCCCTCTTGTGGTGATCTTTCCCAGGTTTAAGGCTTGATCTTGGTCACAAATCTTCCCCCACAAATGATAAGCATTTTTAAAACATCGGTTTAGTTTATACTGAAGAAGTGGAGTTTTGTTTTTGGGTTCTAGATTCTTTCTATCATGCCTCGTGTTGATTCTTCTCAACACAGTCTCTAAATCTCATTTGTCCAATCCCTGAATGCCTGCCATAGTCTTCTGCCTGCCTGAATTTCCCTGCTTTAGTTCCTTACCTGATGGCTTCTTGTCCTCAGAAGTTGGTATTTAATTTACTGAATCCCTGGTAGATTGTTGGCTTTAACTTTTTGTCGAGTGATTTCACTTACCACAAAGTAGCAGGTTCAGAAGACTTGTTGTTCATTCGTTCAGTCGTCTCCGACTCTTCGTGACCTCATGGACCAGCCCACGCCAGAGCTCTCTGTCGGCCATCACCACCCCCAGCTCCTTCAAGGTCAGTCCAGTCACTTCAAGGATGCCATCCATCCATCTTGCCCTTGGTCGGCCCCTCTTCCTTTTACCTTCCACTTTCCCCAGCATAATTGTCTTCTCTAGGCTTTGCTGTCTCCTCATGATGTGGCCAAAGTACTTCAACTTTGTCTCTAGTATCCTTCCCTCCAGTGAGCAGTCGGGCTTTATTTCCTGGAGGATGGACTGGTTGGATCTTCTCACAGTCCAAGGCACTCTCAGAACTTTCCTCCAACACCACAGCTCAAAAGCATCTATCTTCCTTCGCTCAGCCTTCCCTAAGGTCCAGTTCTCACATCCGTAGGTTACTACAGGGAATACCATGGCTTTGACTAGGCGGATCTTTGTTGCCAGTGTGATGTCTCTACTCTTTACTATTTTATCGAGATTGGACATTGCTCTCCTTCCAGCGTCTTCTGATTTCCTGTCCACAGTCTGCATCTGCAGTAATCTTTGCGCCTAGAAATACAAAGTCTGTCACGGCCTCCACATTTTCTCCCTCTATTTCCAGTTGTCAATCATTCTTGTTGCCATAATCTTGGTTTTTTGATGTTTAGCTGCAACCCAGCTTTTGCGCTTTCTTCTTTCATCTTGATTAGAAGGCTCCTCAGCTCCTCCTCGCTTTCGGCCATCAGAGTGGTGTCATCTGCATATCTGAGGTTGTTAATGTTTCTTCCAGCAATTTTCACCCCAGCTTTGCATTCATCAAGCCCTGCACATCACATGATGTGTTCTGCATACAAGTTAAAAAGATTGGGTGAGAGTATGCAGCCTTGCTGTACGCCTTTCCCAATCTTGAACCAGTCTGTTATTCCCTGGTCAGTTCTTACTGTTGGTCCTTGTACAGATTCCTCAGGAGAGAGACAAGGTGGCTTGGTATGCCCATCCCACCAAGAACTTGCCACAATTTATTATGATCCACACAAAAGACTAACTAATTCAAAAAGCCAAATCAGACACAGATGAGTTTGAAGGCAAAACCAGAGGTATTTATTCTCACTGGCCAGAAAGGATGCCAGCAGTGAAAATACTCCAAAATACATTTGTATATTTTAAATCGTAGACGGAGCCCCTGGTGGTGCAGTGGGTTAAACCGCTGAGCTGCTAAATTTGTCGACTGAAAGGTCACAGGTTCAAATCCGGGGGTTGGTGTCAGCTTCCGCTGTCGGCCCGGTTCTGTAAACCTAGCAGTTCAAAAACATGAAAATGTGGGTAGATCAATAGGTACCGCTTCGGCGGGAAGGTAACGGCGCTCCATGCAGTCACACCAACCACATGACCTTGGAGGTGTCTACAGACAACACCCGCTATTTGGCTTAGAAATGAAGATGAGCACCAACCCCTAGAGTCGGACCCGACTGGACTTACCTACTTTTGGTTTTTGTATTAATGTATATGTGTGATTTAATGAAGAAACTATGGGCACTCCCCTCCACTTTCCTAAATCATTAGGTTGAGAACAAAATTAGAAGCATATGTAATAATCAGGCAACAAAGGACTATTCCAATGTGTAAATTAGTAACATTTTATTGTTGGAGATAATATTTATTGCTAAATGCAGGACAGAGTTTAAGACAGATACGTGAATATCTGATCAACGTATAATTGCATTGACAATAACTCCATGATGATTTCTCAAGAAGCCATACCATTTATACATGTGAAAAAAGTTATTAAAATCTTAAAAGACACTTTATTTTTTATTTTGATTCTTTAAAAAGGAACCTTCAGACTCTACTCAAGACTTTGAATGCATAGTCACCAGTGTCCAATCAATCTTCAGAGTCTCCTTGCATAAAGTAAGGTTTTAATCCTAAACCTATTGAGAAAATAAGCCTCTGAATATAACAGGATTCACTTTCAGGTAGCATTTCTGAATGTGTGGTTAATGTTTATGAATTAAAATGTCTGTGATCCAAAGACCTGCATTACTAGATCCATGCTCCTAAGCAGGTTTTGGTGGCTTTGTCTTTTCTCAATTAATGGAGTCTTAAAACTAACAATAAATTGCTTTTGAAAATTAAGACTTTTTCCAAAATGATACAAGTTTATCATTTATTATAGTTTCGCTTTGTGATTATAGCTTTTAAAAAAGCTTAGATCCCAGTTACTATTCCTGAAGAACAAACATTTAAGATCAGAATCTATATTTTTGATTGCATTTCCATTAGAAATTATTTTCTTTCACCTTTTGTTTGAAGCCAAACTGGTATGGCACAGTTTCCTACAGCCATACAGCACTCTGATAAATATGTTTAGTGTTAAAAACGAGGACATCAAAGAACTTCTATTTAATGAATTTTACATTTAACTTAGCAATTACTGCAATTATTATTGAAATTATGTAGAAGCAGGGCATCATTATAAAATCATTATCTTCAAATACTTCATTTGACTACATTTCATAAGGCCATTCATCTTAAGAGTTGACAACATTGCAAAACTGAAAGTCAACAAATGAGATCACTGAGCTCAATCTGAATCATTAATGCAATTTCAACCATCTCAAAGAGATTATCTCCAGCATTTCGTTTGGACAGTTCTGTCACCTTAAAGTGATGTTTTCTCTGGTTCCGTAACTGTTGCAGTATATTCTTCATTTAGTAAGGAGTTCACCTGTTTCTGTGCACAAGAAAGGAACAATTCCAAACTGGATAGGCTACGCTGACGTATAACTTGATCAAGCTGTTGGGACAGAGAAAAATACATTTAGGAAAGTGATCTGTTTATAGAAGGATATGCAATTGCGTAAGAGATTAACATTCTACCATACCTATGTCTGAACATTTAGAAATGTGGTACCATATATACTAGAAGATAAGCTGACCTTTTTATGGGCTAAAAAAACCTCCCTCGGCTTATAATGGAGTCAAGCTGTGCAGCGGAGCCTGGAGGCCATTGCTTGCAATATATGATATATTTCTCTCTCATCTTCCCCTCCCTAAACAGTGTGTTTTCTTTTCTGTTTCTGCTCCTCCTTCCACACTGGAATTTTTTAAAAGGGAAGGGGGGGGGGGAGAGAGAAGCCCTTGAAAGTCTGACAAATACGTTAATCTTATAGAAGCATTTTCCTCTGAAATATTTGTTAATCTCTCCTACAGATATATAGGTATTTTCCCCTGGAAGCATTTGCAATCCCTATATACCTATATATTTGTATCTCTCTATAGACATTCATTTTATATATGAATTTCCCCCTCATACGTATATTTGCAGGTCTTTGCAAATCCTATATACATATAAATATGTAGAGATTTCCATGTACCTGTATATTTGTATCTATATGTATACATTATTTTATATATGATTTTTCCCCTCACATGTATGCAATGGTCTGCAAATTCTATGTAGTATATAGATATCGTTAAATATATAGAGGTACAGTGTTCCCCCGTTACTTCGCGGTTTGCTTTTAGCTGACTTGGTTTTGCAGGTTTTTGAAAATATTAATAAAAAATATGAAACATAAAATATTTATGTGCAGTGGAGGTTAGAGACCCTGGAAGTGCGGTGGCCTGAGGTGCGGCGGGGAAGAACTGCCTCCCTGGCCTGCTGCTGCTTGCGTAGCTCCGGAAGCTCTGCAGGGATCTGCCAGGGAGACAGGCAGGCGTCCTTGGGATGGGCCGGGAGGTGGGTAAGGAAGCGCGGCTAAGAAAATAATATATAAAAATGTATAAATATTAAAATAATATGGCATCCCTACTTCGTGGATTTTCACTTATTTGGAGGGGGGGAGGTGGTGGTGGTCCTGGAACGGAACCCCTGCAATAAGTGAGGGAACACTGTATATGTGTATATATAAAAATAATTTTATATACGAATTTCCTCCTCACATGTATGCAAGTCTTTGCAAATCCTATATAATCATCTCTATATAGAGATATCTAGATAGATAGATATGAATATAGATATATAGGGTTTAAAAATATTGCAGAGGAAATGCACGTGTGTGTGTGTGCACGCACGCACACACACAGATGTCTAGATAGATATAAACCTAGATATACAGGGTTTGCAAATACTGCAGGAGGGAAGTGCACTTGCAGTGCCTTGTTAACCGCCCCGAGTCCCTTTTTGGGAGATGGAGGTGGGATACAAATAAAGTTTATTATTATTTTTTGTTTTTGTTGTTGAGAGAGAATTTGCAAAATTTCAGGGGAAATGCATATATGAAATTAGTATTTATAATTATAGATCTATATCTAACTCTGTATTGTTTATATAGGTATTGAATGTTTGCCTGTTACTATGATGGAAGCCTGCCTGAGTCCCCATGGGGAGATAGGTCAGGATACAAATGAAATAATAATAATAATAATAATAATAATAATAATAATAATAATAATAAGTTATTGTTGATTCCATATTGTTTTTTTGGACCCTACTTTTCCATTTACAGAGCTAGTTTACTGTTTGCCTTAGAAATACATATTCAAAACATTTAACCTACTGATGCCTCAATTAATGTAATTTTATTGGTATCTATTTCTTATTTTGAAATTTACCAGTAGCTGCTGCATTTCCCACCCTAGGCTTATACTCGAGTCAGTAAGCTTTCCCAGGTTTTCTCATTTTGTTCTTAGCTTTATTGGTACACTACCTTTTTCCTCAAACTAGACTCAAGGCAGCATACACATGACAATAAGTACAAAGTAGTTAAAATGCACCAAAAGCCACACAGAAGAATTAAAATATTTATAGACTGAAGAGTATCAACAACACTGGAACAATTTAGAACCAAAAATTTAAAATGTTAAGCCATTTAAAAATGGTAACAATGAAATTATACAACATGCTAAGGTTTGTTATATTTTAAATACTTTTAAACTGTTTTTATCTGTGCTTGATTTCTGAAAAACTTATTTGAGATGTTATTTTTTATCTATAATTACTGATTAGATTTAGATGTGTATAGTTTGTGATCATCTGTTTTGGACTTCATCTACACTGACGAAATTTTTTTGTTTGGCATCCATTTTCCCGGTTCACATTGGTTCCAGCAGTGACCTTGTTAACAAATCATATAATCATAGTGAGGTCACCATAACCGGCCTCATTTCCCCCTCTCGCATTTCAAATCTTTTGCATGAACTCTTCACTTTTTTCCATAATACATGGAAAAAAACTCTTTTCTGTTCAGTGAAATATCCATACACAAGAACCTTCTTTAAAAAAAATGTAAACTTTATTTGAGAAAGCCACTTCCGAGAGTGGTTCATCTCCTAACAGCCAATTGTACCCACCACTAATTCTTCTCCCAAACTTCACAGAGAAGCAAGGTTGCCTGGAGGGATGACTACATGCTTAAATATCTGGATTGTCATGGATGTGGTTCATCAGTGTGAGAGCCGCTATAAGGTATGGTTTTGTTTTAGTCTGTGTAGACAAGCCCTAAGTTCCTGTACTTTTGGGGTATTATTTAAATAAATAACATTGAAGAACAGGTCTTGTTAAACTCCCTCTATCTCTTAGAGGTCAGAATCCCAGTTGAACCATACACTGAAAATATTTAAAAAGTAAATGCAAAATAGGAGGTTGTTGTTCATTCGTTCAGTCGTTTCCGACTCTCTGTGACCTCATGGACCAGCCCACACCAGAGCTCCCTGTTGGCCGTCACCTCCCCCAGCTCCTTCAGAGTGAAGCCAGTCACTTCAAGGATGCCATCCATCCATCTTGCCCTTGGTCGGCCCCTCTTCCCTTTTCCTTCCACTTTCCCCAGCATCATTGTCTTCTTTAAGCTTTCCTGTTTCATGATGTGGCCAAAGTACTTCAACTTTGTCTCTAATATCCTTCCCTCCAATGAGCAGTCAGGCTTTATTTCCTGAAGTATGGACTGGTTGGATCTTAATAGGAGGATCAAGACTTAAAAATAGGAGGATCAAGACTTGAAAGTAACACCTATTAATATCTTCTCTTCAGGTGTATAACTCAAGCAAGTACATAATTCAAATTTAAGATTCATTATGTTTCTTAAAAAACATTCTTGTATTGATTAATTTTCTCCTCATTTTTAAGGGAATATATCTGCTAAAGCTGAGAATATTTTTCCTTAGATTGTACTATAATCTCTTAACAGCTATACTGTATGTGTTTGGGTAAGGAATGGAAATAACTTGAACCATTCTTTATTAAACTTCCACTCATAAAATGGGAGAGGGGGAGAAGAAGCCCTGAACCATGACACTATTGCAAACTCCTACTGGAAGTACAGGATTGGCTACTTGAGAAGATTGGCTACTGAGAATTGGCTGAGGATTGGCTACTTGAGAGATTAAACAGCCTAAGGTTTCTGCTTTTGAATTCTAAAAACTGGGTGAAAGAGAACTGGTGGTGTAGCAATTTAAAGCACTGAGCTGCTGAACTTGCTGACCGAAAGGTTGGTGGTTCAAATCCGGGGAGTAGGGTGAGCTCCTGCTGTCAAGCCCAGCTTCTGCCAACCTAGCAGTTCGAAAACATGCAAATGTGAATAGATCAATAGGTACAGCCTTGGCAGGAAGATAACGGTGCTCCATGCAGCCATGCTGGCCACATGATCTTGGAGATGTCTATGGACAACGCTGGCTTATTGGCTTAGAAATGGAGATGAGCATCACCCCCCAGAGTCAGACATGACTAGACTCAATGTCAGAAGAAATCTTTTCCTTTACCTTTAACCTTAAACATAATTAATAGAAATCGAGAAAATGGGAAGCTTTAAGAACTTTGCAATCCTCACAAGGTGCCATAAACTGCAGGGGAATCTCATATCCTCTCTTCCACCACCACATAAGGGCAGTACTTCTAAGTGAAAGAGGGAAAAGGCTGGAACTTTGTACATTTAGGGGTTTTCCTGCCAGATAGTTTGATCAAAATATATGACTAAGGTGTAGGATCAAAGTTTGTGTTGGAAAAACCTCAGTTCAAAAAAGAGTGAAAGCAGAGAAAAGAGGTAGCAGAATTGTCAATAACATGGGAATAAAGGAAAGCTTGTAAGAGCAAGTTTTGTCCTATACTTAATAGGTTCTTTGATCCACAAATCTGCTAAACATGAGCAGGAAAGGGCAGTAGGTAACTAGTCATGGTTGAGTGTGGTGCAGCAAGTCAAACAGCCAGTGAAATACTGAGCTCCAGGAAATGCAATATTTTAAGGAACAAGATTTTGGCCTGTCTCCTGAAAGTTCTGTGGTTTGATCTGGCACAGCACTACAACTTAGATGAGGAGGACGCTGAAGAACTATGGTGCTACCATTAGAAGCAGGACTTGTCACAACTTCTGGTTCTACTGCAGTATGCTGGGAGAAAGTAACACCCTGCTGCACCCTGACTGCCAGCAGAACATACTTCCATTGCTTAGCCTGGCTGCTAAGAGATTTGAGGAGCTAGCCAGGAAACACTATTCACAGAACTCCTTTCCAGCAGCACTACATTACAGATGAGTTAATTTTCTTCCTATCAGTTTTCTTCACCGTCCAGATTTTACAAACATACATAGAAAACTATATAAATAAAAATGTAATGTTCGTTTGTGGGATTAACATAACTCAAAAATCACTGGATGAATGGACACCAAATTTGGACACAATACACCTATCAGGCCAACAAGTGACTATAACTCATAAAAACACCGAAAAACACAGCAGAAGGGACTTAAAAAGCCAAAAAAACAAGAAACACATTACAACGCATGCGCAAAACCACATATATAC